AAGTGTATATTAAAAAGAAGGGAGAAACCGCAAACGTTTTTGGTTGTAATGTGGTTGTTTTTTAAAAATATTATGTTTTATTTTCCATAATTTTGCTTCACGTATTTCCGGTCTCGCGACCGTCTTCAGGTAAAGTGTGGAGATTTCCACATATTATTAAAAATAATTAATTTTTTTCTTTATGTTTTTCGATGTTAAATATTCTCGATATGAGACATTCTCTTTTTTGTGTGTTAGTGACCCAAATGTCTTTCTTGAACTGGCAGTGAAAAGTTCTGCGTGAAGGGTTATAAAACAATTATATATATATATATATATATATATATATATATATATATATATATATATATATATATATATATTTCATAATTTTCTTTGGGTACAAAATTTTATTATGGAAATAAAAAAAGTTAAGAAACAATTTTACCCTTCATGGAAAAAAAAAATTATAATTCAAAACACAGCCGACCGGTTTCGCTCTCACTCAACAAACCTGGAATCAAGGGAATATATATCGCAATATAAAATATATATGACAAATAATGTGCAATATTAAAGGCAGAATACAATCTAGATTGAAATAACGTCAAGCCCTCACGGACACCCCCGCTGTTTGCAGAGGGAGTGTCTGTCTGAACCAGACGTAAATTGTTTTTAATGCTTTCAGCTGTAAAAGCGAACGAGCACGAATCAAGATGGTGAAAGAGCCGGTTCTGAAATTGATGGCACAATTTGGGCTTTTTATGAAGTGCTCTCATACGTATTATTGACAACGTCACTCAATTGGAAGGTCAGTCAGTTATGTGCCATGCGTAATACATTCTTAGGTGATCATGTATCTTTCGATACATAACTGACGAGACAGATTTTATTTCCCCATAGTAGGTTGCCATTTCTTTCTACGGCAGACCAGTTGCCATCCAAGGCTAGAGAACCCGGACTGTCCTGCTATTTACCCACAGCTGGAGGGAGAAGAAGAGGATGCATACCTTTCCCAAGGGTATTTTCCTAGGTACATGTTGATGCATTCTAGTGTCTAACCGTAGGGTAGTTCTACCTATGTAGTCAGCACCGTAACTATATTTAAACTGGTAAATAACATTATTAATATAGTGTGTGTGTTTGTGGGGGAGGGGTAGAACATCCTTTCAAGTAGATCTCTATGCAGACCTAGTGAAAAACATCACACGTACACTAGATGAGAAATAACAATACTCAACTACCGAGTTTGACAAACTTACTACACACACACACACACACACACACACACACACACACACACACACACACACACACACACACACACACACACACACACATATATATATATATATTATAGTAAAAAGAAAGAACAGTAAGATCCGGAGTTCTTATTGATATTTTTATTTTTACAAAACAGTGCTCAATTAATTTATTAGTAATTAAGAGTAAAAATAATATTTTAAACTTGTAGTTCAATATAACGTATTCTAACCCAAACACCTCTCTTAGAATCTTTATGTATACAAGTACGAATTTAACGGAAAAACTTTTTGTCGTTGATAAAAAAAAAAGCAGACGACATGCGTTGGACGGATGTCAGAATTCGTTGAAAAAAAGGCACCCCCACCCTCCCTAAACTTAAGCTATTTTCGAACGTAACTCATAATTGATACAATAAGTTCATAAAAAAGAACACGCTACCGCCCCCGTCTAAATGATTGGATTTCTTTGTATCCTCGGAAACAAAAAATTATAAATTATAACTCAGTAAATTTAAAAAAATAAGTTATTCCAAAATTCGCTTAAAGATGAAACAGAACTAATACTTTAAATTTAATTATATAATTAAATTTGAAGTTTTTAGCTTCGGATTTTGAAACATAGTAATTCATGTGTAACAAAGGAACCATATTTTCAATCAGTTAATTTATAATATATATATATATATATATATATATATATATGATGCGGAAAAAGTAACATCCGTTTTTTTCGAGCTGAAGTGGATATAGAACGACGTAGGGCAATTGAATGACCACCACGATTATCAGGCCTAATCGCACCAGATATTTCTTGTTGGGATGTACTGAACTTAAAAGCCATTAAGATAAACCTTACTTGAGACCGGCTGAGATCAATATCAAAGTTTAAGAAATTAAAAAGACAGGAATGAAAAACCATTAATGATTCTGATCTGTAGATTGCAGCTATAAACCCCTCTCTCTCTCTCTCTCTCTCTATCTATCTATCTATCTATCTCTCTTTATCTCTATCTCTTTATCTCGATCTTTATCTCTCTCTCTCTATCTATCTATCTATCTATCTATCTCTCTTTATCTCTTTATCACGGTCTTTATCTCTCTTTCTCTCTCTCTCTCTCTTTCTCTCTCTTTCTGAACCTTGTTTGAGACCGGTTAAAATTAATTTCACGGTTTAAGAAAATAAAAAGACAGGAATTAAAAATCATTAGAACCTTAATGATTCTGATCTATAGATTGTAGATAAAACCTCTCACTCTTTATCTCTCTATCTCTCTTTATCTCTATCTCTTTCTCTCTCTCTCTCTTGTTATCTCTCTCTCTCTCCCTCTCTCTCCCTCTCTCTCTGAACCTTGTCTGAGACCGGTTGATATTAATTTCACGGTTTTAGAAAATAAAAAGACAAGAATTAAAAATCATTAGAACCTTAATGATTCGATCTATAGATTGCAGCTAAAACCTCTATCTCTCTTTCTTTATTTCTCTATCCCTCTTTCTCTTTCTCTCTCTTTCTCTTTCTTTATCTCTCTCTGTCTCCTTCTCTCTCTCTATCTGAACCTTGTCTGAGAACGGTTGGCATTAATTTCACTGTTTTAAAAAAAAGAAAGAAAAAAAAGCAGATATCAACACAAACGCTTACGCTCACTAAAGTAACGTTAATAAAAACAAGCAATAATGTCAGATTAAAAAGATTCATTTAAATTATATGTGTGTCAGTGTGTTGACACATCTATGTCATTGAAAACCACAAACAAAGGAACCTTATTTTCCCAATTTTGCTTAACATTTTTTGTTTATGGACAAGTCAAATCATGTCTGAATTCAATGTGTATCGTTATTGTTCACACATTTAAGATCTAGATCTTTGAACCATATTTTTGGGCATTACCAAGATCAAATACCTTAAAACGTAAGGACAACACGCTATGGATGTTAGACATGTATCGTCTGTGGCCCTTGACAAAGCCTACATAGATGAAACATTGCTCCCCATATATATATATATATATATATATATATATATATATATATATATATATATATAATGAATGAGAAGCCACGTATACTTTCTTAATATGTATATATAGAAAAAGTCTCAAATTAAAAATTATAATGTTTTATTTTATTTATTATATAATTATTATTATTATTATATATATTATTATTTTATTTATTATATAAATACTTTCATAAAATAAAACATTATAATTTTTAATTTGAAACTTTTTCTATATATATATATATATGTATATATATATATATAGTTAAGTTATGAAGAACTTGGTAAACCGAATGGGTAATTCCAAGGAGGATGAAATCCAGAGAGCTCAATGTGAATACAGAGCTAATATTTAATGAAAAACAGACCACTTTAAGGTACCATTACAATAATTTATTTCACCAAAATCCTTTTTAAAGGACTCCGGATCATCAGGTTATGGAAATACAATTGGTTGGGTAATTAAACCTTTATAATTTTAAATATTTCTTTAATATTTTCTCAATAAATATGCTAATAATAATAGTAGTTAACTTATATTAAGTCCCTAAACTATTTACTTAAAAAGTTAAATATTTAAATTAATGACATTCATCATTTTTTAGACATCTAAATTTCTATCAAGCATTGAAATCTATCTTTTACATAATTTTGTTAAAACAAAATTACAGCCTCTTTCGACTCACTTCCATCTCCCCCTCTCTCTTTGCCGTAACACTCATTTGGATATATCTGTATTACTATCGTCTATCTCCTCTCTTTTTTCTCCTTCTTTTCTCCATTCCCTTTCCTATATATCATTTCCGTTTAGTTAACCGTCTAAATAGGTCAAGGTTCGGTCACTCCTCCTACCCCAATATAAAGCATGCTTAAGAGAGATATGAAATTAACCCCTCCCTATACTCTATCTTGTCTCTGTAACTGCCACTCTCAACCCCCCTGTTAAATTACAAAAATTACACTACCCATCAATTTCTAATCCCATTTTTCCTTTCATTTCATTGTTGGAAGTGTTACCTGATGATCCAGAGTCCTTTAAAAGGATTTTTGGTGAAATAAATTATTGTAATGGTATCTTAAATTGGTCTGTTTTTCATTAAATATTTTATATATATATATATATATATATATATATATATATATATATATATATATATGATGGATTCGCCCATCGAGTTCGACGTATGAGGTTCCGACGATCACGAACTAATTACCTGCATGCCGATGACGGGCATGACTTTTGAGACCGGCTCGAGAATTGCACAAAAGACCACAAACAGTACAGGGGAATGTATTGTATCCAAGTTCAGCAGGAACACAGTTAGATGTCTTATTTTGCTTTCTCGTTTCATGTAGTCGACTGATGATTACTTCTCAGTGCAGCTATATCAATGGCGTACTTCTTTAGCTGCAATGCGACCAGAGCTGTTTTTCTTTCTGGTGCTGAGTTGTTGTCCTGGAGAGTTCGTACATTCCAAGTCTCATGAAGTTGATGTAGTTTCTCGCAGTAGCGTGATATGTGTGAAACTAATTAGATGTAGATGTCAGAAAACCAACGCAGTGGTTTGTTTCAATTGGTGAAGGCTTGTGTCGGACCATCCACACCTTTGGGATCTGTCAATAAAAAAGTAACGGTGTAAAAGACTTACCACGGAAACTCCGAACGAAATCAGAAAGAAACATTCGGATAATTCTTATATAATTTATATCCAGAAAAGAAAAAAAAATACGAACACATGAGAAATTATATAAAATGTCAATCACTGAACCTTGAGAGAGAGAGAGGGAGGGAGAGAGAGAGGGAGGGAGAGAGAGAGGGAGGGAGAGAGAGAGTGAGGGAGGGAGGGAGAGAGAGAGAGAGAGGAGGAGAGAGAGAGAGAGAGAGAGAGAGAGAGAGAGAGAGAGAGCTGATGTTAATAAAACAGCTCGATGTAATATGAAAGAGGAGTATTCAGAACTTTATATAAAATTATTTTCATTCATTTATAATATATTTATGAGATATCCATGAGTCTAGCATCAGCCATTCTGATGGCGGACAGGAAATTTTCTCTATAGTTTCGTTTTGGAGGCATTAAAATTTACGAGCCATTTCCCGTGCCATTTAACCACTGATTGGAGGTCCTTTGCACGAGCAGCAGCCATTTTTACTTTGTCAGCTCTATTGAGACAGGAGTAAATGGCAGTGTCATTTGCATAAACGCCTACTTGGGAACAGATGACATCAGGAAGATCATTAATGAAGATCAGAAACAGCGTAGGACACAGGAGACATCCCCATTCCTGTGACAGGATCTGAAAGCGAGCCCATTTTCTTTTAAATGCAAAATATATGTTTAAAAACTGTAATCCTCGTTTTATATATGGACTGCGCCTTTATTGGGGTAACCAGATGTTTTTATTAAAATTCAAATTACGTAACGGTCAGTCGTACTCAGCACTACCGGTGAGGATAATGGTATATATATATATATATATATATATATATATAAATGGAAGTAGATAGATAGATAGATAGATAGATAGATGGTGGGGGGAGGAGAGAGAATTAATATGGAAAGAGTTTTTTTTCAATTAACTCGTTTACTTCGGAGTTTCGTGGTTGTATGCGTCCATCCACTGATCAGAACAGAGTTAACTCTTATACATACAGCCTAACGCATACAGGAACCAAACTGCGAAGTAAACATGAGTTAAGTGAACAAAAAGCGACTATTTCCATATTAATTCTATGAACGCTCAATTCCCGCCTTCGATACTAAGCACTCTATC